CTCTAGATTAATTTTTCTAGACCCCGCTTCCGGTGGTTCGGAAGATTGGGCGAAGAAGCATGCCAAGATCAAGTTTGTGTACCTGTTGGAGTTGAGGCCGGATGAGAAGAGTGGGTTTTCGGATATGAAAGAGAGAGAGAGCGAGAGAGAGAGAGAGAGAGAGAGAGAGAGCGAGAGAGAGAGAGAGTGATTTTCTAGACTGGGACGGCTTCATCCTGGAGGAGCGCGAGCTGGTCCCAACCGCCAAAGAAACGTGGGCTGGCGTGAGGGTGGTTGCCGATGCAGTTATTGCCAGGCTAGGGACACCAAACGGTCAGTTTTTAGGGGTGTATATGCCTAAACCTAAGCCTAAGCCTAAGCCTTACCTAAGCCTCAGCCCATGTCTAAACCTAAGCCAAAGCCAAGCCTAATCCCAAGCTTCAGCTCAGAAATCTGCTACTACTTTCCCTTCCAGCGCACAAATAATCGCTGCTAGCCTGCCCCTTTCCAACTTATCCTCCCCTTTAAGCTCAGGCCGCCCCGCCCACTCGATCTCCGGATCGTTTCCGGTTCGGCAACGGTGAGGAGGGATCGTGCTGGGACGCCCGGCACGCGTGCAAGAAATGGGTGGCCGAGAAGGAGGATCTCTGCAAGACGGTGCCCGTGTTTATGAGGGAAAATTGCGCGTATTCTTGTGGATATTGTTGAACGGAGCTTGGCTACGGTAGAAGGCCAAAAATTAATTTTTTTGTCATGAAAAATTGGAAGCTGTTTTATATTTTTTCAAAAAAATAGATGCTATTTCCCTTGCATCCCTCTAAAATGCTCTCGCTTTCTCTCTCTCTCTCTCTCTCTCTCTCTTTCTCTTTTCTCTCTCTCTCTCTCTCTCTCTCTTTCTCTCTTTCCCATTTCTTAGTTCTCTAGGCTTTGAAAATTGCTTTTTTGAGATTTTATTTGATTTTTTTGCATGTCACAATTTGCTTATTTTTTATGTGATTTTCTGCCCCATGACTGACTCGCGGTGATGTACACACAGATGCAAATAAAGACATATCAACAAATCAACAATTTACTACGACAAAATCACGTTATTAGCATTTTGGAGCGCAAAATAGCCCAACCATTGCCTTCCAAGCTCCTTTAAGGCCAGATTCCAAGCGAGGCCTGCCCGAAAACAACGTTTCTTTGGCCCCTCTAATTGAACAGACGGCTGGCCAATGGCCTGGATTTGAAAAACACGCATCTCTGCTAGCTTGCCCTTTCCTAAAGAATCTCTGCTAGCCTGCCCTTTCCTAAAGAATCTCTGCTAGCCTGCCCTTTCCTAAAGAATCTCTGCTAGCCTGCCCTTTCCTAAAGAATCTCTGCTAGCCTGCCCTTTCCTAAAGAATCTCTGCCAGCCTGCCTTTTCTTAAATGATCTCTGCTAGCCTTTTGTGAATGCGCCCCGTTCTTTGGCCTGATCGGAACGCGCTAATCTCAATTTGACCTGTTGATAGGTGCTTTGCGTTGTGTCCCTCTCTCTCTCTCTCTCTCTCTCTCTCTCTCTCTCTCGTTCTCTCTCCTCGAAAAACACCAACACCCCCTCCGCGCCCAATAATTTGTTTTGGTCGGAGGGTAGGCATCAGACATTTTTCAGAGTCGCGCTCCCTTCAGGGGGCCGTGAATTCGTGTCGGGTGGGGGACGCCGGCGCGGAGGTCGAGATGGGATGCAAATTGGGGGCCCTTTTGCGCTTTTCAACTGAGACTTCGGAATGGGTCCCCGAACTTGGGCCCCAGAGTCGACGATCACCCGGCGAGATCTCTAGCTAAGGGAACTAGAGCTTTTAAGGGTATGCTTAAGATCAAGCTTAAGAATGATTTTTTTGAAGCATTACGATTTTTCAATACAAAGTATTTCTATCAATCGCTATCTCTCTCTCTCTCTCTCTCTCTCTCTCTCTCTCTCTCTCACTCTTCTCTTTCTTCTTTGATCCACACGACAGCTGTTTATCGTATAGACGTATGCAAAATTTATCAGTAAAACGCCTTTTTTACCCCGACGTTGCTACTGTAAAAATTGACCTGGCAGGTGCATTTTTGGGACCATTCCGCCCCTTATAATGTCATTTGTACAGCAAAGTTCTATACGTTCGCAACTTGAAAATCTCTGTTTCTCTAGCTCCTTCTCTCTCTCTATCTCGCTCTCTCTCTCTCTCCCCTTCAATCTTTGGTTGGTGCACCCAGAAGGCCTTTTGTTCCAAAAATTTCCAGTTGATCGCCTAATTTTGAGGGTGGCACCTGACAGGAGTTCAACATTTTTTTGAGGTTTTTTAGATTACGTGAAAAAGCAATATTTTAGCTTTTAAAGGATTCCTTACAATCCGTAATCCGACAACATCGTAATTACATTTCTCACACTCCTGATTGTTTGGATAAATATTTTCTTACCACAGCTAACAACTCCCTCTCTCTCCCCCTCACTCTCTCGATTTTTGAGGTCCCGAAAGGCCTTCTCGGTACCTCCGCCCTCCGCTAATGCGTTTAACTACGATGAATGGGTGCACATACACGAGGCGCTTTTCACGGCTTCTCCTCCCGGCACGACAACCCAGTTCCAACTTCCAGAAGTCCTAGACGTCCACAAGTTTTGGAAGTTCTTGCGGGTGCTTTCCGAAAGCTCCTCTTGACGTCAAGGCTCATAGCAGATTCGGAACAGGGCTATTCCGAAATTCCGACAACCCAAATAAATCCCGACGATCAAAAGCCCGGCAACCAAAATCTCGACAGCCAGAATCGCGACATGCAAAATAGCTGTTTAAAAGGAGACCCGCAGTCAAACTAACGCCGAGGATGCATCCGGACTTTGAATGTCGGGATTTTGGCTGTCGGGATTTTGGCCTATCGGTGTTTCCGCTGTCGGTATTTTGGCTGTCGGAATTCGTAGCTCAGGGTTGTGGCTGTCCGTATTTTGGCTGTCGGGAGTTCGGCTGTCGGGATTTTTGCTCAGGGTATTTCGGCGTTTTCGCCTTTCATTCCTAAAGGATCCCTGCTAGCCTGCCCCCTCTTTTAGGCCAAAGTCCTTGATTTTCGATCCCCTGACTTTGATCTCTCGATGGGTTCAAATTTTTTCGCGCTTTTTTTTTTGTAGGCTCGTCACCCGGAATCGGCCCCCTAAAAATGGGGTGCAAAATAGAATTCGCGGCTCTTGACGGCATTTAATTTTAGGCCGCATCACTTTGTGCCCTCGGTGGGCCCCAAAAATTTATGGCCCAATCTTCCCGGGGGCCCAGGACGGGACCCAAAGCGGGGTTTTGGAATTTTCTTAGCCCCCGAATTCTTCTTTGCCACGGGAATACCTGGGATCTTTTACATTATCGGGGTGCAATTTTTATTGTATTTAATGCTGATATGCCAAGTAATGGCCAGGAGCTGTTTAATCGTCCTGTTAACGCTATTTAGCTATATTTCAAGGGTAGACAAATATCTAGAAACCGAGAAAGTGACGAAAAATTCGATATTTTCGTCCGGAACTCGATCTTTTTGTATTTTTTTTGGTAAAAATTTGTAAAATCTTAATGTTACGAAAAGTAAAACACGGTTCAAAATCACTTCAAATTCTATATAAAAATTCGCAACTCCTCCCCCCCGATAATGCAACAGCACTGCCAGGAAGTTCGGAGGACAGGATTTCAGGGCGTTCCGCTACTTTCCGAGAGCCGGATTTATTTTGCGAGAGGGGCGCGAGAAACAGCTGCAACTACGTGATAGAGGACGGAAATTCGGATTTTGCCGCTGCTAGGGCAAAGGATTTGGCCGGCGGCCAAATCCTATCATGGGAATGGAGGGGTCGGAACGAAGGGCTGAATGTTATGTTTTTGGTCTAGAGCTTGGAAAGAGGCTTTTTAAAGGGAGCGTGACACCTAGGTCACTTTTCTCCCCCCCCCCCCCCCCCCTCTTTTTCTCTTTTTTCCTCCCCCCCCCTCCCTCTTTCTCGCTCTCGCTCGCTCTCGCTCTCTCTCTCGCTCTCTCGTTCTCTCGCTTTCTCTCAGTTCCCAAAGATCAAAAGCATCTGGCAGCTATTCTAAGAACAAAACTAATCCGCCGGCTGGAAATCAGTCATCAGGGAGTTCAAAGAAGAGAGAGAGAGAGAAAGAGAGAGAGAGAGAGAGCGAGAGAGAGATGCGCCTTTTGATGAATAATGCGACGTTGCCCTCCCCCGTCCAGGTTCCCGGCGGCTCCTTGCCATTCTCCAATCTTTTTCTGACCCCCACACATGCCCTCAGTCATTAGGAGAAGGTCGAGCAGTTCCGTGTTGTGTTTGATAGAGAAGGCTAGCAGAGATCATTTGAGCTTAGGCTTCGGCTTAGGCCTAGGTTAGCCATAGCTTAAGCTCAGACTTAGGTTAGGCTATGATTTAGGCTTGGGCTTAGGTTAAGCTTAGGCTTAGGCTTGGCTTAGGCATAGATTTAAGCTTAGGCTCAGGCTTCGGATTAAGAATTCGAAGCAGGCTAAGCCTTTGCCTAAATGTAGCAATTTTTCTAGCCCTGGCCATTTCCCAAGTACATTCATCCCCTTCAAAAAGACGCAAAGACAGTTGCATGTCTTAGGGCCCTCAGGGGGCCCATTTTATAAGGTCCCCCCCGGGCCATTGCCGAATAAAAGCGCGCGTTCCGCCCCGCTTCACCGGACACTCTTAGGCGAGCCGAATGTTTTTATTGGGAATTTCCCCAGGGAGTTTCAGGTCGTTTTTGTGTTCTTGATCTTGTTTTTAGCGTAGTAGAAATTTTGGGGCATTGTAGCGCTGTAAATTTTTTCAAGTATCTCTCTCTCTCTCGCCATCTCTCGCTCTCTCTCTTATCTTTCTCTCTCTCTCTCTTTCTCTCTCTTTCTCTCTCTCTCTCTCTCTCTCTTTCTTTCTCTCTCTCTCTCTCTCTCTCTCTCTCTCTCTCTCTCTCTCCCTCTTCCTTTCCTTTTCGATTGTTTTTAAGACTTTCTTGTGTTAAGATACGGCATTTTATCCTAAATTTCACTTTTCCAGATGACATGACCGCCATAATCCAAATCTTGGCCATTAGCCTCATTTTTTGGGTCTACCAAACTCGAGCCCAAGATAACACGCTGCTGTCCAACTTCTCCACCTACTCCTCGAAAGAAACCCGCGGAAAACCGGATCCAGATTATGGCAGGGAGACGGACGAGCAGAGGTTTTTGAGGAAATTGGAGCTCTGAAAAACTAGAATGATTTAGACTACTCTACCATATCCTAAGAAATTATGAAAAAGCCGTCCGGCCGGTCAGAAACGCATCAACGCCCGTCGTGGTCAAACTCGGCATGACGATGACGAATATTTTTGATATGGTAGGGATAGCCAGCAGAGATTTTTTAGGAAAGGGCAGGCTAGCAGAGATTCCTTAGGAAAGGGCAGGCCAGCAGAGATAATTTGTGAATAAAAGGCGTTTTTTCAGGACGAGCGCAATCAGGTGCTAACTATTAATGTGTGGTTAGATCAGGTCAGTTGAAATTTAAATTAAAAGTTTTTTGATTTGGGCATTACCGTAGCTATGTTCTTTTTGAAGGCGCAAAGAATTAGGCATGTTCAGGAATGGGAGGACGAGCTGCTTCGATGGAATCCAGAAGATTTTGGAGATATCAAGACGATTCGGTTACCATGCGATCTGATTTGGCTTCCCGATATCGTACTGTACAATAAGTAGGTGGACCCTTGGGACGTTACGTAATTTGTAATGTGATCGATTCGATGAATGAAGAAGTCCGTTATTTCCGAAATCAGTAGTATAATCAGTATCTGAGCTGAATTGTGGTATCACGCGTGTGGCATTTTATTGATAAGCCTGAGATTGAATCCGGATCCACTTTTAGCGCCGACGACTACACGGCCGGATTCATGCGCTCGAGGGCTATGGTCGTCCATACGGGCGAGGTTTTCTGGCCTCCGCCTACGCAATTGAGATCTACATGCAAAATTGATGTAGGACTTGTAATATCGCTCTGAAAAAAATTTGTAGGTGACCTACTTCCCGTTCGATTCGCAGCATTGTAGTCTGAAGTTTGGATCGTGGACATATCACGGTATGAAAGTGAGAGAAAGAGCTAGAGAGAGAGAGAGAGAGAGAGAGAGAGAGAGAGAGAGAGATTTGTCTGACTGTCTGACAGAGTCTGACTAATTTTCAGGTCTCCAAGTCGATATTACCAATCGCAGTGCCAACATCGATTTAACGAATTATGTAACTTCCGGCGAATTTGATTTAGTTGCGGTATATCAGGTAGATTATCAAATAACCTGTTTTTTTATTAAATTCAATGTTCTTCCAGTCTTTAATGAATTTCTAACCCTCGAATATCATTATTTCCAGAAACGGCGTGTCGTTCTTTACACTTGCTGCCCGGAGCCGTACCCAGATATCACTTTTTATATTCATATTCGAAGAAAGGTGAGTTAGATAATTTTCGTAAAAGTAAAGTATCATTTAGACCCTTTATTACATGTACAATATCGTGTTCCCGTGCTTGATGATGTCTATACTTACTTTATTGGGTAGGTTAGGGTGTCCTCAAGTTATCTCTGCTAGCCTGCCCTTTCCTAAAGAATCACTGCTAGCCTGCCCTTTCCTAACGAATCTCTGCTAGCCTGCCTCAAATTCGCAATAAGAGTTTTTAGTGTTCTGGCTGCCCCCGGATTCTGGAGAGAAAATCGCGCTCGGAATTACTGTATTGCTGGCGTTTTCCGTAAGTTATAGAGCACTCTCTTTCTTTCTCTCTCTCTCTCTTTCTATCTGTCTCTCTCACTCCAATCTCTAAATCTTCAGGTGTTCGTGCTAGCCATAGCCGAAAAAATGCCAGAAACCTCCGATTCGATGCCGCTAATCGGTGTCTACCTCACCGTAGTCATGGGCATGACGTCTGTGTCGGTCGTCATGACCGTACTTGTAAGTTTTAAATTTCGCGATGGTATTCTTTATTGTTTTACTCTCTATAAGTTATAATTAGGCTGTTTTAACCCAAAATTTCATTATTGATGATTTCAGTCTCAGTCCTTTCTAAATCTAAACTAGCGGTTATAAATCAACCTTTAAATTCACAATCCCATTGATTAAAATTAAAATATAACATTTTTGTGTGCACTAATCCTTTTGTTAGATTCATTAGCGTTTTACGGGGCTGGAGTGTTAGCGGGGGCGGGGGAGGAACCAAATTTTTCTCTGTGATTCTCTACGGCCCTATAACAATCTATAGATGATTTTTACGCATTTGACACGGTGTTTATATAGGAAAACAATATCAACAATGATACAAATTTTCGAAAATTTTTGATTTTTTAGGGCCGAAAATGTATGAAAATGATCAAAAAAGATAAAAAGCTTCTAATTTTCAAAAATTTTCATAAATATTTTGTACCTTTTCAGCAATCAACAACTACTTAAAACACGATAAAAATCAGAATACATCATCAAAAATGTTTTCCACAACAACAACAAAAGAAAAAGTGGTTCCCCCCCCGCTAACAGTTCAGAACCGATTCGCGCGTAGTTGTGTGTTAGATTTTTGTTAGATTTCTGGGTTCAAAACTGCGCATTAATGTTAGTTTTCATACCCCCCCCTTTTACTCCCCCCCTTTTTTTTCCCCCTTTTTTTTTTTTTTTTTATTTTTTTTAAAATAAAAAAATAAAAATTTTAATTTTTTTTTTCCCTTTTTTTATTTCCCCCCCCTCCCTTTTTTTTTTTTTTATATTTTTCTAAATTTTATAATAAAAAAAAAAAAATTTTTTTTTTAAAAAAAATAATTTTTTTTATTTTTTATTTTTCCCCCCCCCCCCTTTCCACCCACAAAAAATTATATTTCCCCCCCAACATCCCCCCCTTTTTTTTTTAAATCCCTCCACCCCTAATTTTAAAATCCACACAAAAAAATTTTTTTTTTAGGTATTAATAGAAACCCTCCGTTTCCTCAGTTCGTTTGCCGTATTTAGGTGTACCACATTCACGATAAGTCGCGCACGGGCGGCCGAGCCGACCGGGTAATTTTATTTGCAGGCTTGGTGCCTGGTCCTCGATTCGTCTGCTTCTTTGCTCGCAAACTGTCCTTGTCTTTTTTGCTGCCGTAACCGTTTTTGGCATGCATTCGGATTCAAAAAATTACTTCAAAGTTCAATTCCGCTTTAAAACTATCAATTTCCGGCGCCTGTACCCGTTTGCCGTGGCAAACCGTGGCGTTTTTGCAGCTGTAAAAATTGAAAAAATAGATTAAAACAATTTTAATCTGTCGTTTCAGGTCCTAAATTTCCACCATCGGGGCCCGTTCCACGACCCGGTGCCGGAATGGGCGAGGATATGGATTTTGGACCGGTTGAGAAGGTTTTTGAGGATGAAGCTGCCGCACACAGGTAGGAAGGGGCAAAATAGCGGAGGTCTTTTAGGAATCGAGAAGCAGGCTAGCAGAGATTCTTTAGGCAATGGCAGGCTAGCAGAGATTTCTTAGGAAATGGCAAGCTAGCAGAAATTCTTTAGGAAAGGGCAAGCTAGCAGAGATCACTTAGGAATGCGTGGCAAGTTAGCAGAAATCACTTGCAGGCTACGGTGATGCTACCAAGGCTGCCTCCGCCACAGGAGCTCCAGGCATGATGCGAAGGCTTAGCGTTCGGATGGCGATGAACGGGGTGAAGGGAGAGGTACGATCCTCTCTCTCTCTCGCTCTCCCTCTCTCTCTCTCTCTCACTCTCTCTCTCTCTCTCTCTCTCTCTCTCTCTCCCTCTCCCTCTCCCTCCAGCTATCAACGAAAATCTAGGTCGAATCTGACAACACCAACGAAACAAACTACGTCCTCCACCGCTACCTGAGCACCGAGATCCCGAACGGGAAGCCGAGCGTCGGCAAGCAGTCCAATGGGGACGTCCTCAAGGAGGTGGTTCCCTTTAGGCATTCTCATTCCTAATTTTTGAGGAGAATCCGGTGCGTTGTAATGGCAGCTTTTCGCGGCCAGCCAGCCGCTGCAGTGAAGACATCAACGAGAAGCTGTTGAAAGCGCTGCAGGTATAGCAGAGATTATTTAGGAAAACGCAGGCAAGCAAAAATTATTGGAGTTTCAGGTACTAATCAAGCGGCAACAGCTCGAAGATGACGGTCAAGTGCTGGCAAATGAATGGCGGCAAATTGCGCAGGTAGAATTCGAGAATTTTTCGCGTTGCGTCAGAGTCGCGTTGCGCACCGCGTCAGGCAACATTACGTGCACCGTGGCGTGTCGTGTCCCGCACCATACGTTGTGACGCGTCGCATCGTGCGTCACCTCGCGCATCGTGCGTCTTATCGGGCGTAGCATTACGTCGCGTACTGCGTCGTGTCATGCGTCGCGTGGTGCGCTGCGCGGCGGCGCGTCATACGCGCGTCTTTTGCGCGCGTCGCGGACCCATAGTGTTTTGCCTTCATAACCCCTTTAGTAAACCAAAAAACCCAATTCGTTCAGGTGATCGATCGTCTCCTTTTCTGGATATTCCTCGTGGCTACTACTGGCATCACCACCACGCTGCTGATCATCATCCCCTCCATCAACTACGCCAGCGAGACGGCCGACTTTGACGAGAAGCTCTACGGATTGCATTGAGATTCTTTGTACTATTTTAAAAATTCAATTTGCAAGAAATTTTTTGACCTGCTTATTAATGCCTAATCGCTGAATTTAATTGAATCCACCCAATCGATTTTTTTTCTTCTGCTTGGAATTTCTGATGCTTTTTGGGTCCATTTTCCGACGGGTTCACGCCACCCCATAAACAACTGTACGAATTTGATTGAATAAATTGTTTTTTCGAGGGTACAATTGCTCACTAGCTTAAAGGGGCTTTGGCTTCGGCTTAGAGTTGGGCTAGCTTAGGCTTAGGCTTCGGCTGCGGCTTAGCCTTGGGCTTAGGTATAAGCTTTGGCTTATAAGGCTTAAGTTTGCGCCCCGGCTTACGTTTATGTTTACGCTTAGGCCATACTTAGGCTTAGGCTCAGGCATAGCCAGGGGGCAATCCGAAATTGGTAGTAAAGGGTTACGAGACGCTCCGTCCAAGCTTCTTAGTTCAGCTACAGCCTAGGCTTAACTTAGCTTTAACTATGCCTAGCTGAGGCTTGGACTTAAGCCTAAGCCCAAGCTAAGCTTATCTTGAGCTTCAACTTGCTCTACGAGGTCAAAATAGGGCCATTTAGGGGTTAACTTAGAGCTAAGCTTGGCTTGGCTCCGGCTTCGTTTGCATGAAGGTCAGCTCAGGCGTAGGCTTTTGCATAGCTTTTCCAGAAGCTTAGAGCTTCAAAAACCGGCCTTTGGAGCGTCTTGTACTCATAATCCGGACTGCCCCCCCCAAGTGCATTAGCACTGACTGGGGGCCGGTATCTCAAAAAAGATAGCTTACCCGCGCAAAACGGACCCAAAATTCGGATCCAGCACAAAAAACTGGTCAAGAAAAGCAAAACTCTATTCACGCCCGCCTTGCTGACTCGTGAAGTTCCCGTGGCCACAGAAACGACTGGTACAGCTTACCTTGCATCACCGGCCTGCCCTATCCCTCGCACGTCACCTCAAGGGTGGGTGGTCTGAGAATCGGACAGAAGAGTTCCCGACCGTGTCGTGAGGCATGACACGGCCGTACCGGAGCGCCTTACACAGCTTACGCCCGCCCCGACCGATATATACGCACCCCTACGCATAGGTGGTCGGGACAAGCCAGCTGCTGTTGTGGGACATAGATGAGCGGCGCATCCCTTCCTTTGGGGTAAAGAAAGGACCTGGAATAGTCTCCTGATTCCGGGATGCCGTACCCCTCATCAACCGCTCTCAGGCTTGTCGGTGACTCGGGGAGGACACATGCGCGGGCGAGGGAGTGGCCAACCTTTCTTAAATACCCCCCTCTCACCGGGTGGGCCAGGTTGGTGGCGTTTCGCGGGCGCGGGGAGGGCATCTGGAAAAGGCCCCCCTAAAATGGCCGTATTTTGTTCGAATTTTCTGAAATTTTCGTCACGGATCCGGAACGTCATCAGCGATCCCTCCTATAAGTTTGAAGCAAAAAACTTGAAGCCGAGGGCTGTTAGATCGATTGAACTGCGCAAATGTAAAAATGGCCGTAAAACGCTTTCTAGCGAAGGTTCAGACTTAGATTTAGGCTCAGACTTGGCTTTCGGCTTAGACCAATGATTAGGCATAGGCTCAAGCTTAGCTTAAACTTAAAACTAAGCTGAAGTAAGCTTATTAAGCTTCGGCTTAGGCTCAGGTATAGGTTTGGTATAGGCATGGTCTTAGGCTGGGCTTAGGTTTAGGTATAGGCCGAGGCTTGGGCTTGGGCTTGGGCTTAAGCTTAGGCTTTGCTTAGGCTTTGGCTAAGGCTTAGCACAGCTGCAAAATGACAAATACAGTTTTATTCAGATGCTTCACCAAGGGATGCTCTGCTTCGGCTTCTCATACGTTGTCGGGCCGTACGGGTTGGCGGCGCAGAACTTCTTGCACGTAGCTCTATCCTGAGGGGCGCAGAAGTCCATGACAGTCTCGTGGGGCTGGCAATCTTTGTGTGAGTAGATCAGGCGAGGTCCGTGGTAGCGCCGGGGCTGAAAATGGCTAAATGATCTCTGCTAGCTTGCCTCAAATTCTTAAATGACCTTTGCTAACTGGCCTGGTTTATTTGAAAACCTCCAGTTTCCCATTTTCAAAATTTAAAGTATCGAAATTCTACAATTTCTCGGGAAGGGGAAGAGGAACTTTTTTTATGAATCTAGAAATGCCTAGCAATTTAAAAGAAAGTAAGTTATAGTGTTTTTAGTAATATATAACTATATTTTAAGTATAAAAACTACCTAAAAACTTTTAAAAAGTCGAAAATTTGGTCAAAAATTGGCCATTTTCGATGGAAAATCGATATTTTCGAGATTTTTTAATGCAATTTTGTAAAGTTCTAACGTTTAGCTATCGTAAATACTATTTAGAAACACTTCCACAAATCATATTCAAAAAATTAGATCCTAAGAAACAGGTTACCCCCCACCCCCGATAATGCATAAGAACCGATTCGTGATATCGAAATTTCAGAACGCCGAAATCCCGAAATACCCACCACACAAATCCCGAATCCGGCGTACGGGTTTGCGTTCTTGCAGTATTCTGTCTCGCCACAGTGCTTGATGGAATGCAGGCATTCCTTAGGCTGTTTTCGTATTTTACGTTCCGCGAGGAATTCTCGGGCAGCCTAAAACGTGTTTTTTTTGTATTTCCGTTATGATCTCTGCTAGCTGGCCTTGGACTTCTCAAACGATCTCTGCTAGCCTGCCCCTTCTTAAAGAATCTCTGCTAGCCTGCCCCTTCTTAAAGAATCTCTACTAGCCTGCCCCTTCTTAAAGAATCTCTGCTAGCCTGCCCCTTCTTAAAGAATCTCTGCTAGCCTGCCCCTTCTTAAAGAATCTCTACTAGCCTGCCCCTTCTTAAAGAATCTCTGCTAACCTGCCCTTTCCTAAAGGATCTCTGCTGGCCTGCCCTTTCCTAAAGGATCTCTGCTGGCCTGCTTCGATGAAATCCTAAAAAAAGAAAGCTGGAAATAAAGCGTTGCAACCAGCAGAGTTTCTTTAGGAATCAAAAATGAAACGATACTTTGACATCAACCCACCGCCTCATCAGCCCCGCAAAATTGCAGCCCGGCCAGCGCTACCGTAGCAACAGTAATCCACAGGGTACGCATCTTGTCTCGGAAGCCACATTTCCGGAAATTTCCCCCATTTTATGGCCGCCGTTGATTGATTCGAGGTTTTTGTGTGTTGAATTTGAATTTAAGCGATTTTTGAGGGTCCAAATGGCTGAGAAAACGGCCGTTTGAATCCTCAATTCAGCACTTCCGGCCCGGAAAAAGGCGCGAGCTTCGGGCTTTCAAAAAACGCAACTATAGGCTACATTTTGAAGCTGGATGACTATGAAAAAGCCAAGTAGCCGTTTTTTTACATTAAGAGTTTAAAAATCGAAGCCAAGATGACGTGTTTTTGACATTTTTGAGCCGGGTTATTGATACCATCTTAAAAAGCAGTAGCGAATTGATAAGTTGGTATAAAATTTAATGCAAACTTGTTAAAATTAAAACTAAGAATTGATTTTTGAATAGTATTTTAAAATTTTGAATTCATCAGCTAAATCAGAAATCCAACCAAATCGAAAATTACCATCAGAACGCTTTGCCATCACGAGGCCGAAATTTGTTTTTGTCGAAATCATTTTGTCGATATTCCATTTTAACAAAGTTTATTTATCTCAAAGATCCAAAAAAAATTGAAATCTCACAAATTGTCAGCGTATCAAAATTTAAAAAACAAAATGTCGAAAAAGTAATGCCGACAAAATGAAATCTCGGTAAAATGAAATGTCGACAAATGAATTTTCGATAAAATGAACTTTTCATTCGGATTTTCGACAATACGAAAATAACCTCCAAAAATTGATTAATCTGGCACAAACTACGGAAACAAAATCAATATTTATCCGTGGGTTAGATCAGGGAGGAATCGGCGAAGAGGAGGTTGTCTCCTCCAACCGGCACTTCCCGATGCATTCGTCAAATTGACGGCACCGCTCTGGATCGGCGACGGCACAGCTAGACCCGGCCTTGCCGGAGCAATCAGCTTTCTCCAGACATTCGTCTTCTTTCAGCTGCTGAAAATTCCCGAAAATGATTTCTGCTAGCATGCCAGCATTCCGCAAATGGTCTCTGCTAACCTGTCCTTTTTAGTTCCCAAATGATCTCTGCTAGCTTGCTACTTACCACACAGTATCCCTGAATGAACTTCCGGTCCGAGGTCCGCAGGCATTTTCCTCGTACTCCGCACTTGCTGTCGTCCATGCAGGGTCTCGGGCGGAAGAGGCTCTAGAATTGATTTTACATGTAAATGTCTGTCTGTCTGGCTGTCTCTCTCCCTCTCTCTCTCACTCTCTGTCTCGCTCTCTTTCTCGCACACACTCTCTCCCTATCTCTATAGCTCTATCTCTAGCTCTCTCTCTCTCTCCCTCTCTCGCTCTCTCTCTCTCTCTCTCTCTCTCTCTCTCTCTTTCTCCCTCCCTCCCTCTCTCTCTTCACTTATGAATTTCAATAGGACACATTTAAAAGAATACTTACCGATTCCACAATTCCCAAGCAAGCCAAGCATAATATCACGAGCAGACAGGCCGTTGCCGTCGATAGCATTTGTTGATTTTCCTGCCTAGCCGGCGCCGTCAGGTGGGCGCTGAATTAAAATGTGGAGGCCGTGTGAAGCCGGGAAATCCTTTGAAGCCGACGCGAAAAAAAATTCCCGGGCCGATAAACTGTGGGGAACAGGCGAAAAGGAGGCAAAAGTTCAAAAATTCCAGACGTTCACGGAATTGACGATTAAGCGCATAATATCGATTAAAAAATTAAGATGAAACCAACAAAATTAAAATTTTAGTGGTCGAGTCTGGAAGAATCGGTTTATGCGCGTATATAGGATCGAAAAAATGGAACAGCTCGAACAATCGTCACGCCTTTTTAATGTTTAGAAAATAGCCTCGGGGCATTTGTAGAAAAATGACGAGGGGGCAATAGGCAATGACGTCGAGTGGAAATTATGAGTCATAAAAAGCTAAAAAGGAATATAGTTAAGAAACACAACAATTTTTGCACAGATTTTTTAGGATAGGGCAAGCTAGCAGAGATTCTTTAGGAGAGGGCAAGCTAGCAGAGATTCTTTAGGAAAGGGCAGGCTAGCAGAGATTCTTTAGGAAAGGGCAGGCTAGCAGAGATTCTTTTGGAAAGGGTAGGCTAGCAGAGATTCTTTAGGAAAGGGCAGGCTAGCCGAGATTCTTTTGGAAAGGGTAGGCTAGCAGAGATTGCTTGAGTAAAATTGTGGGTCGCTTCCAAGTCTCAAAATAAATTTATCGCCACAAATTATTTTCCACGTCCGCAGAACATGGCATTAGCAGTCTCGCGGAATTCGCAGATTTGTCCCTTGAAGCAGTCCTCGTCACGCTTGCAGTTGCCGTGACTGGATCGCTGAAAAATTCGTAAATTTGTGAATGATCTCTGCTATGAACTCTGCCTTTCCTAAATAATCTCGGTTAGTTTTCCATTTCTTAAAGAATCTCTGCTGGTTCCCGGTCTTACCGTTCTCCTCATTAGACCCGTTCCATCCCCATCAGGACCGGAAGACAACGGAGACGACTCGATTACGGTAGCTACCGTAGCCAGCAGCAATAACAACAGGAAAAAGCGCATTGTGTTGAGAATATTGGCAGACGGCGGGCTGCCTTTTTATGCGGGTGTCCCCCCCTCAATTTTAATGGCTTTATGTTTGAATTGTGGATTTGATTTTTGGGGGTTCAATGTCGATGTTCCATACCCGCGCCACCAATAATATTTATTGAATTTTTAATGGGATATTTAACTACATTTTTTGACTAAAAATACGCTAAAAATTGGGGGCGGAATGCTGAATGTCGACTAGATATTGGGAAGCCATCGAAACGCCAAAAAAAATTGTATTGGGAGCAGGGTTGGTCATGATGATCGAAAGTCCGTCCGCGTCCGTCCGCGGACGGACGCGTCCGGACCCGTATGCAAATTGCGGACGCGTCCGGACGCGTCCGGACCCGGACGGACGCGTCCGGACGCGGACGCAGCGGACGCTACAGCGTCCGCCGGACGCCGGAAGGTCCGCGATGCAAATTGCAGATCACCATGTTAATTCAATAGTCTGCGGCTTAGGAAGGCACATCACCACGGACCTAATTTGAATATTCGTGTTGACTTGGATCATGACAAAAAATAATTCTCAGTTGTCCAAATAGTCACACAAAAGCAAGTCGGAAACAAAGAAACTAGTACGAAACATCAAGAACAATGGAACATTGCACTAAAATCTCAAAGCTTTTCGTTTGCTCAAACTTTTTAGCGCTTTCCCTTGGACAGTGACAGTGATTTTTGTGTTTTATTCTAAGTCAACGTCAAGGATGCAAGTCAGATTATGATCCTACGCTTTCCTAGACCAGGGACACCTGAATTAGCATCCGCTTTTGTGCTTTGCATCGCGGACCTTCCGGCGTCCGGCGGACGCTGTAGCGTCCGCTGCGTCCGCGTCCGGACGCGTCCGTCCGCGTCCGGACCCGTCCGTCCGCGTCCGTAATTTGCATAGCGGACGCGGACGGACGCGTCCGGACGCGGACGGACGCGGACGGACGCGAACCCCCGATCATTGTGACCAACCCTGATTGGGAGGAATAGAGCCATGAAGCGCTTTCTCCTACTCCTAATGTTCGTGCTCATCGTCATGCTGCTAGATGTGGAAGCAGAAAATATCGATGAAAATAAGGATGCCAGAAATGTGAGTTTTTGCTTTTCTGGGCTGCTCTCTTTCTTTCTCTGTCTCTCTCTCTATCTCTCTCTCTCTCTCTCTCTCTCTCTCTCTCTCTCTCTCTCTCTATTTTTTCTCTCAAACTCTCTCTCACGCTTGCTCTTTCTCGCTCTCGCTCTCGCTCTCTCGCCCTTGCTCGTTCTCTTTCTATCGCTCTGGCCATCTCTATATCACCCGTTATCCTGATCTCTCACTCTCTCTCTCTCTCTCTCTCTCTCTCTCTCTCTCTCTCTCTCTCTCTCTCGCTCTCTCCCACTCTCTCACATCTTGGGCTTCCTAAAACCTTTATAGCCAGAATTTCAGCGTCGAAACCCCAGCGATAAGCTCTCTGAGTGCCATGATGCCATATTGTGCGGCCCCGGCCAGGATTGTTCTTGGCCCGCCGATCATAACCTTGGAATTTGCCGGCCGAAATGATCATAAAATACTCGGAATAAAGCTTTGAGGCTCAAGAAAACCGACCACAGAAATCCACAGGAAGCTTCGTTTATTACCTAACCATAAAAATAGAAACGCTTTCAAATTTCAGATTTTCATTGTTGGCCCCTGGAAAAATGCAATAATTCACCGGCGATTCCTAAGAAGCCGTAAACCTTGTGACGATGGCCTATAAAAATCTTATTTCTACAAAAAGGCTCGGCTGGGAATCGCCAGCAAAATATGCGCTTCTTCCTGCTGCTCGTTCTCGTGCTCATCGGCGCTGTAGCCGGCTGCCAACAGTCACCCTGTCCTGAGGTAAGTCGAAGTAAGACTAAGCCGAGGCCAAAGCGAAGCCTAAGCCCAAACGTAAGCCTTAGCCTAGGCGCAAGCGGAGCAGAAGCCTAAGCCTAAGCCCATTTAAAGCGAAAGCTTAAGCCTAAGCCTGGACCTGAATTGATGCCTATGCCTAAGCTTAAGCCTACCTAAGCCTAGGCCGAAGCACAGAAGAGGTAAAACGTGTTTGCAGGAACCGCTACTACTTACCTGCACGCCGGAATTGCCATGCCCGGAAGGGATGGACTGCCTTCGCCTTGGAGACGAAGAGACGGGCGCATGCGGCTTTCCTGTTAAAAGCTCACGCACCAAAAATCTTTGAAAGTTTGAGTATCGAATAAAAATCCAAAATGGGCTCTGCAGCTCCTCGGCTCGACGTTAAGCACAGATATTTATTTATTCTAAAAATCGAACATTTTTAAGGCTTCTTCCGTTTTTTCTCCGGGGTGGGAAAATCCAAATTTTTTTTCAGTAAAACTTTACTAGCAGTAAGCAATTTTAATAGTAAGATGTCAAGTGATTTTATGCTGAAAAACAATTAAAAGTTCAGAAAAAAGTTTTTTACCTGATTTTTGGCCCAAAGTCGCCCATTTTTCATCGAAAAAGCGAAGCATTTTTCATTTTTACGCTGGTATTTTCGAATTATGCAAAATGCATCTTCCATGGTCTCTGTAAAAACCATAAATCCTGCGGATATGACCCATAATGTATAAAATTTCTGGCGACATTCTATGTATAAAAATGAAGATTTTTGTCCGGCTTGCCAGAAAATGCGCTTGTTCTTGCTGCTGGTTCTGATTTTTGTCGGCTTCGCGGCTGGCTGCAAGTTTTCACCATGTCCTGGTGATGGAGGGAGAATTGTAAGTATCAGCCTGAGCATAATCCTAAACCTAAGCTAAGCCTAAGCTAATTAGTTTTAAGTCTTAATTAGTTTGGCGTATCTGACGTTTCTGGACTAATAGGAAACAAATTCGGTCACACCCCCCGTTAATGGCTCCCATCGGCCTGGTTATTCCAAAATCAAACGTTTAGGAACCGTTGGGAGAATGCAGGATGAAAGGGAACTGTCCCCCAGGAAAGGACTGCATCCGCGACCCCGGCCACACCTGGGGCATATGCGTACCGATTTAGTTGGATACAAAAAGCGCCTAATTGTGAGCGTCCAACTGAATAAAACAATTCATTCAAATTAAAATTTCCACATTCCAAGTAATCGCCGCTGACGGCCCCAGATACACTACGTATTAGCATTAGATACTGCATAGGCAGGGTGTCCTAACGAAAAAAATTCCGCTACACTACGATCGGCAGCGATACAGTACGTTACACTACTAACCCATACGAGAAGCTAAGGGACAAAATACTACGCTACGCTACGTTACGACACACTAGGATCGAATGTGCTCTTCGCCACGATATTATGCGCTACGCTACGTTATGATACGCTACGATACGCTACGATACGCCACGATACGCTATCAAACCTACGAAACGTAAGGCTACAGTATGAAGCGTACGGCACAATTGCACTGCCGTAACGATACGCTACACGATATTTTGCCAACGTAATCTTTGCGTACGTCCAAGCTACGCGACGATACGCTGGGTAGGGCCGACTTTTCATGTAAAAACAAGGCTTAACGTATTTATTTCCTTCCTACATGAGTTTTTTCCGCTCCAGCCAAATCGCACCATTTTCCATGTGTCGGTATATCATTGCAAAACTGACCGGCCGGGCAGTCCGTATCTTTCTCGCAGGGGCTGCTGTTTTCCCACTGGAAATGAGGTTTACGTGAGAGTGAGAGGGAGAAAGAGAGAGAGAGAGAGAGAGAGAGAGAGAGAGAGAGAGAGAGAGTCAGAGAGAGAGAGTGAATGAGAGAGCGAGAGAGAGAGAGGCAGTGAAAGAGAGAGAGAAGTGAATACCTTACCGGGCACCACCCTTCACGGCAGCCAGCGACTACCGTAACCAGCAGCATCAGTAGAAGAACGACACGCATTTTTGCAGTTTTCTCAACGTGGCACCTCGGCTCTTATATTTATCGCTTATACGTCTATTTATAGCTTATATTAGCATTTTATACGTTTTATCTTTTTATTTTTATGCCATCATTAATACGGAAAACCCGAAAAATATTTTCCGATTTTTCTTGAAAAAAGAAATAAATTTTCCGAATTTTGAATGTATGCAACTTATTGTGTTTTTGGTTTTTTCTTTTCAAAATGTGTTTTTAAAGCGTCAATAGTAATTAACATTAGAAAACATATAGTTTGTCCTCTAAACACAGAATCCGTGCTCGTCATTCACCGACACGACCCATTTGCATTTTCGCGGCTCGCAGCAGTCGGCGTCAAAGTGGCAGGTTTGGAACTGAAAACGTCAGAATTTCGTTTACATTATGCGTTTAATCTACCGCGTGCTCTTGGCACCCCGCAGCTACCGTAGCCAGGAGGAGAACGAGGAGGAGGAGGAGCCGCATCTTGCGGGAAAATTCATAAATCTTTGTCGGCCTGGGCTTTTATGAATTTTTATTTAGTGTCGGAATCAAATTTACGGCTTTTTGTAATGCTATTAAAATTGGGGTAAATTTAAACTAGCATGTGTTAAGATTACGGTATATCCGTGAGATTTTCAAAAATGTGATTTGTTTTGAAGAGGATGCGGCAAGTGAGAGAGAGAGAGCGAGAGAGATAGAGAGTGAGAGGCAGGGAGAGAGAGAGAGATTGATAGCGAGAGAGACAGAGAGAAAGCGAGAGAGGGATACAGAGAGAGCGAGACAGAGAGAGAGAGAGAGATGGAGAGAGAATTAGAGAGAGAAACAGAGAGAGGCGAGAGACATATACAGGGTGTCCCAAAAAAAACGAACCATCTGGCATTTTGCCGTGTTACATACAATCGGTCCCATATTTAGACCAGAGGTGTATCAGACCCTAAATAACAACAATCCTGACTTATAGCCCTGTGGCTATAGTAGTTCTCGAGTTATAGCAAAAACAAACTTTATTTTCCATTTTTCATAGGGTTTTCGTGGAATTAGACCCCCTAAACATTAAGTGAAAATGATCCAGTAGGGCTTCTTTACCTTAAGAAATTTTTTCCAGACTAAAATTAATTAAATAAGCTTCGATTTAAGCGATTTTTACAACGCAAAATTAATCAAGATCTTAAGCGAAATTAGGGATTCGCAGCCGGAAGTCGATGCAAATCGATGCAAAGTCCAAAAAGATAGCCAATAAAACTGTTCAGAATTCTGGGAAAGACAGTATTTTCGTTATGACTTTAGAACTACTGTAGCTATGGGGCTATAAGTCAGGATTGTTGTTATTTAGGGTCTGATACACCTCTGGTCCAAATTTGGGGCCGATTGGATGGAAGACGGCGAAATTCCAGATGGTTCGTTTTTTTTGGGACACCCTGTACAGCTCTGCGTAATTTGCGCAATTTGCACATGATCGTAAGATTTATTCTATTTATTGCAGTCAAGTTTCCGAGCAGCAGAGCATCGGCCACGGCCTTTGAAGAAGCGGCAGCTTTCACCGGGACCACAATCACCCGACGAACGGCAACCCGGCAACAGGATCGTTTTCGAATCGTCCTGGAATTCTTGTTTTGACACGGAGAGAGCAAGAGAGAGTGAGAGAGAGAGACAGAGAAAGACAGAGAAACCTACAGCAAGCCGCCACGGTTCAGCTGTGTTGCACATCCCATGCAGACAGCCAGCCGCTACCGTAACCAGCGCAAGGAGCAATAGAATGAAGCGCATTTTCGTGAGTTTTTAGACTTTCCGCGGTTAGCCCGTTTTATATACTGCTAAGGTCAGGCGAAATCCAATAAATGCGGCTGTCTGGTCAAAATGAGGGTTGCCGCTGAATTTTTGCATGGATTTGATTAAACCCGGGCGTCTGTAGAAGAGTCGAGTTGCACGTAAACATTTTCTGAGCTCAAAGATCCACCGAATAGAGATAGGGAGAGGAAGAGAGAGGGCGAGAATCAAAAAGAGGGATAGAGAGAGTGAGAGATCCAGAGTGCGAGGGGGTATATAGAGAGAGAAATAGAGATAGATGGACAGCGAGCAGCAAATTTATGGATAGCAGGCCAGAATTTTCGTATTTTTCGTGTTTTAAAGCTGGTATAAATGCGATTGATTTTATAAAGCTTTAACAGGTGTTTATTTACTTTTTGTCTCAGCTCTTTCTATCGCCCGAGCAATGGCCATGGCCCCTGAACATCAGGCAAGCATGACCCGGGGGGCAATCAGTGTCGAAGGCGCAGCTGTGGCCCGGTTTCGGGTGGACATTTCCTAGCTGAAATTTTTGGTATTTAAAGGAAGAGAGCGAGAGAGAGAGAGAGAGAAGAGAGAGAGAGAGAGAAAGCTCCCCATAAAACCCGCCTTCAAATGCCCATTACAGTCTCCAACCCAACACCCGGCGGCTACCGTAATCAGCGCGAGGAGCAGCAGCAAGAGACGCATTTTCACGGAATCGCTCGTGAAAAAACGTTTATACCGATAAAGCTGTAAAACTTTTAGGGCCGGTAAAATTCTCGATAAATCAGGATTTTTGCTGCATGATTTACATGGATCAAAGGTCAAAGATCAAAGATTCGGTAAACTGATTTTAGATTAAGTATATGGCATAGGTTACGGTTTTTATCTGTAGACGGATAGTTTTACAGAGGTATCTAGGGCCATAATTCACCCGCTTCTCCCAAAAAATCTTGCAAATTGCACGGGTCTGCTCGGAAAATTCCTGTATAAAGCGGCGGGTCGTCGGATTGGAGATGGTCAGACGAGATGCGTTTCTTCTTCTCGCTGCTGGTTCTGATGTTCGTCGGCGTTGCGGCTGCCGAGAAATTTGCTCCACCATGGCCGGAGATACTTGTAGGAACTTTGGAATTATCGGGGGAAGTCTAATTTGGTCAAATATAAATAGTGGTGGTATGTTTTTGAATTATTGATTTATTTTTTACTTTTTTATTTCTAAAGGGTTTGTACGATTCATGAACGTCAATCTTTATATTTACAACAAACTTTCAGGGGTCAGGTGTGATGTGCTTCGACGACACTGAATGCTTCGAAGCCGGCGAACATTGCGTGAAGAAGCCGGGCAAAGGATTCGGACAGGACAGGACAGGACAGATTTATTGACGCTTTACACAGTTGACCCCATCCTAAGCCAAGGTCTAGCGAAATTGTAAGCATTAGCCTACACCTAAGTCCAACCCTAAGCGGCCTAAGCCTGGCCCTCACCCGAAGCCTAAAGCTAATCTAGCGTAGACGCCGGAAGTTGGGCTAAATACGGATTTTTTCCTATCTCTCTCTCGCTCTCTCTCACTCTCTCGCTCTCTCTCTCGCTCTCACACTCTCTCGCTCTCCCTTTCTCTCGCGCTCTCTCTGTCTCTCTCTTTCTCTCTCTCTCTCTCTCTCTCTCTCTCTCTCTATCTCTCTCTCTTGTTCTCTCTCGATGTATAAATCGGTCTGTTGAAAATCACAAATATACAGGGTGGCCCGAAAGAGTGGTGACCGCAGCTTGCACACAGAATTTCTCTGTTCCCTTACGTGTTTGGGCAAGGCGGGGTTATGGATTCTGTTTCCTATAGATGTTGGCTAAATTTGAGCATACGCTGAGCGCACAACGCAGTCTAGCTTTTACATTAGGAATTTAATTCCATAATTCAAAGTCATGGATTTTTTGAAATCGACAAAATCTAAAATAAATTCCTGTGGAAGAAAATACTTAACGATGCCTTTTCCATCTCTTTAACGAGCGTGCCTGACGTTTTCGGTGAAGCTCGTGGTGCAGCTATGGCTCAGAACCCTCCAACTTGGTCAAGTGACTGAGGCCCGTTATTAAGGGTTTTGACCAAACCGTTTTTTGCTCGCCAAAAGAGCGATCCTGCAGCCCCAACCCGTCCCCGCAGAATTTTTTTTGTGTAGCCGGTCTGAAAGGCCAAAGTGTTGGTTACTCCCGATTCAATTTTGGGTTCGCTCGCGAAAGTCTTCATCGAGTTATGAGCCAAATTCGGGCTGAGTGTCTGCGTGCCAGCACCTCCGTTTTCCATCCGCTTCCGCGCCAGTTTTTCCGAGTTTGAGGCAAACAAATAAAAAAAGTGGTTATACCATGTGGAAGATAATTGTTTAAGGAATATAATGTGCTAAAATGAGCTTTCATCGATCTATAGTTTTTCAGAAAATCGAAAAAGTTTCGGTCACCACTCTTTCGGGCCACCCTGTACAAAAAATAATTTATCAATCGATTCCCTCATTTCCCAGGGCTTTGAATCGGCAAGCATTGGCCGGTGTTGAACGCAAGAACTTTTTTGAACTTTCTGCACGACTCGCCCGGCTTGCAGTCCAGCGGGCTACTACAGTACCGACGACTGGGATGGCCCACAAGATGAGCTGTTTCATGATCCGTACCTTCACCATGGAGGAGGTGGCGGTCTTTCTAAAACAAATTGCTTGAGGTAGAAACGACTAAAAAGCGCCCAGGTAAGGGAAAAATGGTTTCTAAATTAGTAATAACCTTCGTTTTCCAAAAAAAATAAGATAAGGAGCTCCAGATGTTGAGCAAAGCTCACCTCGAATCCAGGCTCTTCGCCGTTGCACACCTTAGGTGGCCAGCAGGCAGCGGCTACCGTAGCCAGCGCAAAGAGAGGCAGCAGGAAGCGCATTTTTTATTGTTTTTCAGGAAGGGAACCGGCTTTTTGTAGCTTTATTTTTCCCTTGCGCAAAATATTGAAAAACACACGATTTATTGCCAAGGAAAACGGCCTAAATTTACGATAAACCGGAAAACGTCGAGAAAAAAAAATAGAATTGATTGATAGCAAAGGCTTAGGCTAGAACCTCATTAGGCTTGGGCAGTGGCTTCGCTTGGGCTTAGGCTTTGGCTTAGGTTAGGCTTAGGTTTAAGCTTAGGCTCAGACTTAGCTTGTTTAGCCCAACAAATTTTATGGATTTTTGCATACTTTCTAGAAAAAGTTAAGTTTTTTTAGAAAGTCCTTATTTTTTGGCACGACATTGATAGGAATTACCAGGTGAGCATCACCGCCATTATCACCGCTCCCATTCGGAAAATCAGGATCGGTCTAAAAAAAGGAGATAATCGGAATATTGTCTAGCAATTCCCGCCTCCGATCCAGGTTTCACGCACACGCTGGGCGGCCAGCATCCAGCCGCTACTGTAACCAGAGTAAGGAGGAACAGGAGGAAACGCATTTTTTCTCGTTTTTTTTTTGGCGAGTTTCGAGCGTCATATATCGTTGTTTCTGTTCCGTGATCGCAGAAATTTTGCATAGTCGCCATTGACCGTTTTTGATTGTATCTAAATTAAAAAAATAGATAAAAATTGAACGTTAGAGAGCTAACTTTTAAAAGTTTTTGTAAGAATTTAAAGAAATAAAATCTATATTTTTCAGGATATGCCATTGTAAAGGTGTTGCTCGATAGAAAGCCGGCCTGTGCTCTCTCTCGCGCTCTCTCGCTCTCTCCCTTTCTCTCTCGCCCTCTCTGTCTCTGTCGCTCTAGCTTTACCCGCGGTCTCTTCAGGTTTGAGAGAGCATGAGAGAGAGAGAGAGAGAGAGAGAGAGAGAGAGAGAGAAAGAGCGAGAGAGGACGCGGGCAGATAGAAAGCGTGTGCGTGATATTGTTTATGAATTGCAACCATTTGGGTGACTCTGAACTCCTTGGTGTCGTCGACCACAAAAAATTGCAGATATCATTGATTTATTGGATCTCTATCTTCCGTTGGGCCAGCACATTCCCCTGCCGAAATTCCAGCGGCAAATCTCTCCGACCCGACAGTCAAGCGACGTCGAGCAGTAGCGTGTGTCTTTCAGGTTGCGGTGTGGAGGTTCAGTATGCCAGGGGTGCTGAAATAAATGTTCAACACATAAACAGCAGTTAAAAAAGACTAATGCATTGCTTGCTTAGGCTTAGGCTTAGGCTTAGGCATAGGATTAGGCTTAGGCTTAGGCTTAGGCATAGGATTAGGCTTAGGCTTAGGCTTAGGCATAGGATTAGGCTTAGGCTTAGGCTTAGGCATAGGATTAGGCTTAGGCTTAGGCTTAGGCATAGGATTAGGCTTAGGCTTAGGCTTAGGCTTAGGCTTAGGCTTAGGCTTAGGCTTAGGGTTAGGCTTAGGTATAGGTGTAGGCTTATGCTCATGCTCATGCCTCATCATTGAAGAGCGTAATCTTTTAAGGTCTAAAAGCCAAGAAGCAATTTAGCAATGATTCCGAAGCACACAAATTCTCACAGCCTCCGGACAATACTCATCCGGGTTGATGCAGCCGGCGGCTACGGTAACGAGCAGTAGCAGAACAAGGATGAAGCGCATTTTTTGGTTGTTCTTTCCGTAACCATGCGTTTCTTATAAAACTTGGTTTTTGCAATTTTGCAATAATCCCTGGGAAACGTCGATACAACTTTTGATCCTTGGAAGCTGTAAAAACCGGAAAAAATTTGTTTTCCAGGATTTATCGAAATGCCGACTTTTTTACGGCAAATTGCGGATAAAATTTTGATCTCTGGTCTGAGCGTAATTCTTAAAGTTTTCTCTCAGCAAAAAACGGTCAAAAGCCGGTTTGGCAAAAGACCAAATGCCGAAAAGCACAATGGCGAAATTCAGAATTAAGAAATAGGTAAGCTAAATTTCGGGAAAACCCCGAAACCCAAGCAAAAAAAATTCAGTATTCCGAACTTTGGCATTATGAATCTTTCCGAATTTAATAAGAAATCCAAGTACTGATATAAATTCAATTCTTTATCCAGATTTCACTGTTGGAATGGGGAGGTTCGGCATCCGTAGAGCGCTATTTCCACACCAACTGCCGACCAGGGGTTTGATATGGCAACGATGGGAAGGGTGGGAGGCACGGCAATCCTCATTGTATAGGCACTCGTATCCTGTCGGTGGGGTGTGTTTTATCTGAAATATGCATGAAAAGCGATCGGCTTAGGCTTGGCTTAGGCTTGGCTTAGGTTTAGGCTTCGGCTTAAGCTTACTTAGTTCCCTACTCATACCTGTCCGTGCACCGTAGCTTGCGGCAAAAATGAGGCTAAAAGGAGGCAGAGGACAAAGAACAGCTTCATGGTCGGTATTCCCTGGCTTCCCCCTGAAAGTCGGCTTTTAAAGCAAAAGCTAACGGAATCCGCATCCAAAAAATTCGGATCCTCGAAATTCCGCGGCACTCCTTTGGCGGCTGGGCCGCCAAAGCAGTGTCCCGGCCTTGAAGTTGGAATTTTTAATAAATGTAGGAATTTTGGCTTTGAGGGGCTGCAAGCTTTTCGGTTCTGTTAAGTGTGTTTAAGTTAGAATACGATATTTTATTAAGCCGTTCAGTTTCGTGGCTTCATTGTTGTTGTTGCTGGCCGCGGACCACACCAACTTCCTCTGCTCTCGTGGTGGAAGCAGTAGGCAGCAGCATCGCCGCAATCCGTATCAACACTGCAATCATGTATCACGTCATCGCTACGACGACTGCGTGTTGCCACCTAAAAATACGCACTTTGGGGGCCTATACAAAGCCAAGTAGCATAAAAAGGATGAAAATTGAAAGACAAAAAACTTATCGTCAAAAATCTTTATTTGGAAACCTTCCGACTCGTTTTCACCGTTTCTCTCAACATGTCGAAAATCACAATGTCGAAATACATACTGTCGAAATTCGGAAAAACCAAATTAGCATAAGCTAGTTTTTCCGTAAAACCCCAAAATTTATACAAAAAAAATTCGATATGCTGAATTTCGGCAGTATGATTTTCTGCATTATGAATTTGGTCATTACCGGTTTCGACCATGTTTTTGCAATTTGCATGCGGATTTTGAGTAGTTTGCCAAAAAACGGTCATTTCGGGCCGATTGCTGTCGATTTTGATGATTTTGATGATAATACGCCCTAATTTAGACGTCATTTTTTAAATCAAATAAAATTCATTCGATGTAGAAAAGCGCCCGCTTCTGCTTTAAAACTGCTTTAAAGCAGCAGCTGTCCGAAACAACCCACATCCATCTTCCATTTCTGACAACTTCCGGATACACAGATGCTGTCAGCCGGGCAATCAGAGTCCTCGCCGCACTCTGGTCGCGGATGGCGTTTGTTGGCCTAAAATTTTCTTTCGGACCTTCCGTAAATAAAAAAAGTAAAAGAATAAAATCTGACGCTTTTTCCAATGTTTCCGTTTTTAAAACTTTTAGTTTTTATTGACGAGCACGCAACTCTGGTTTTTTAGAATTTTTCTGGGACCATTTTTTTCCTGGCGGCCCGGGTTGGCCTAGAAATAAAGTATAAAGTGTCTTTACATTGTTTTTAGTGCGTTTTAACGATATTGAAATTAGAAAAATTCAAAAAACTTTCAAAATAAATCGGAAAAATGTTTGGAAAAGTCGAAAATTCGTCATTTGGGTTGGAAAAATCAATCGTTCGAGATGAAATTAAATTTCCAAAAGAAAACTTGCGCCGAAAAAATTTAAACCCGCCCGCGAATCCTAAAGAATCCTTAATCTTTTTCTCTTTTTTTGACTAAGGCAAAAACCCACGTCCAGCGTGTCCCATATTGGCTCACAGTTTCCGGCTACACATTGCTGGTCAGCCGGGCAATCGTCGTTCTCGCTGCACGCTGGTCGCGAATGGCGCTTCCCCGCCTAAAATCTTTTTTTGGTATCTTAACCGAAGCGTAAGCCTAAGTCTAAGCCTAAACCCAAAACTAAGCCAGAGCTTAAGCCTAAGCCTAAGCCTAAGTCTAAGCCTTAACCGAATCCGTCTAGTAAACTAAACTCCTACCCTTTCTTTCCCTTTTGGATCTTTTGCCTTATCGGGGGGGACCCAACTTTTTTCTTAGGCTCTATAGTTCATATAGTTATCTAGTACTAAAGCACTATTATAATACCTTCTATTAGATTACTAGACATTTCTAGACTTATACAAAAAGTTTGGTCCCTTCCCCCCACCCCGATAATGCACAAGAACCTTTTTTATTTTTTTTTTTGATGAGGACGCTAATTAGATTTTTTTTTTGAATATAGCAAAAAACCCACATCTAGCGTCCATTTCTCACATTTTCTGCCATTACAGATGCTATCCTCGGGGCAGTCAGAGTCATGGCGGCACCATCCTCGGCAAGGCGGTGTCCAGCACCCAAGGGCTACGGTAGCCAGCGCGAGCAACAGCAGAATGGGGCGCATGTTTCGATAAATATAAGCCGTCTCCACAGGCTTATATATACGCCTGCATCGAGGCATATATAGTGGTAATATATTTGGCATAAATCTGCATGAAATCTCGTAAATCTTTTCATATTTCGAGGATAGAAGAATTTAATAGCTTTTTTGACGCAGTTTTGCATACGTGGCGATAATTTCGTCGGGAAGCCCCCGTAAAAACAAATTATATTTTTGAATCTTTTTTCTTTGATTGATTTATTTGAATTTTGATGAATTTTTGTTTTATTTTTATTTTTAGCAACCTAACAATTATCACAAAAAGTATGGTCCTTGTGCACTATCGGGGGGGGGGGATTCTGCGCAACCCCAGACGCTCCGATAAATTATTAGCACGTATTTCAATAGTAAAATAATGGTAAAAAATCGGTAAATTTGTAATGTTTTCACGTTTACGGATAGTAAAAAGCCATTTAAAGACACTTCCACTATTTTTATATGCAAAATTAAATCCTAAAAAAAAGATGGTTCATTACGCGACCACCTGTATTCCGCGATTTTTCATATAACGCGCTTTTTTACATTACGCAACATCTCATATTTCCTAGAAAAATGTTTTGTCGGTGTTCCATAGTCAGATACCTTGTTGGCATGGTGTAATAATAATAATAATTTTCTTGACGCGTCTGTCCGTCCGAAGCCGAATTCAACTCGAAGGGGAAAGGAGCTAGAGCTTAGATCTCTTCGGATTCGGATAGAGCGTGGTCAGAAACCCCCAAACTGATTAAAAAATTATGAAAAAGTTTTAGTTTAAATTATTAAAATTAACTTTGAAAGTTTTTTCCTTAGTAAAAGGGGTGGGGGACGGAGGTTGGGGTGATTTTGGACATAGTGAGCCAGGTCGCGCGCGTTTCGTGGATGAAAGTTTTCACGGGGGATTTCATTTCTTTTTTTCTCTCATTCCATCCGGTCGGTCGTTATTTTCGTTTTTGAAGGGGATTTCAGCCATGGGGGGTATCTTAAGCCATCGGGAAGGTATTTAGGTAGTTTTTGAAGGGGATTTCAGCCATGGGGGTATCTTAAGCCATCGGGAAGGTATTTAGGTAGTTTTTGAAGGGGATTTCAGCCATGGGGGGTATCTTAAGCCATCGGGAAGGTATTTAGGTAGTTTTTGAAGGGGATTTCAGCCATGGGGGTATCTTAAGCCATCGGGAAGGTATTTAGGTAGTTTTTGAAGGGGATTTCAGCCATGGGGGGTATCTTAAGCCATCGGGAAGGTATTTAGGTAGTTTTTGAAGGGGATTTCAGCCATGGGGGTATCTTAAGCCATCGGGAAGGTATTTAGGTAGTTTTTGAAGGGGATTTCAGCCATGGGGGTATCTTAAGCCATCGGGAAGGTATTTAGGTAGTTTTTGAAGGGATTTCAGCCATGGGGGTATCTTAAGCCATCGGGAAGGTATTTAGGTAGTTTTTGAAGGGGGATTTCAGCCATGGGGGGTATCTTAAGCCATCGGGAAGGTATTTAGGTAGTTTTTGAAGGGGATTTCAGCCATGGGGGGTATCTTAAGCCATCGGGAAGGTATTTAGGTAGTTTTTGAAGGGGATTTCGGCTAGGAGAGGGTCTAAAGCCGTCAGGAAGGTATCGAAGTAGTTAGTGGAAGCAGGTAGATAGGTAGGTGTATTACATGGAGGGTAACCCGAAGGCCAGATGGTTACAGTCGCGAAGCGACTGGAACCATCTGGTTCTTTATGATAAAGCAGCCCGCGTTATCCCGCCCTGACAGGTTTTTCCATCGGTGAGCACCAGCTTGTCAGCATCCCCTTTTTCACGCATCTATGGGAAGAATCGGGGCAGTCCCGATCGCTGTGGCATCTGAAGGCGCTGCGACGGCTTCGGGTCTCCTGAAATACCATCAACTATAATAATTTTGTTGTGGTCTCCGTCTGTCTGTGTGAAGCCGAATTCAACTCGAAGGGGAAAGGAGCTAGAGCTTAGCTCTCTTCGGATTCGGATAGAGCGTGGTCAGAAACCCCCAAACTGATAAAAAAATTATGAAAAACTTTTAGTTTAAATTATTAAAATTAACTTTGAAAGTTTTTTCCTTAGTAAAAGGGGAGGGGATGGAGGTTGGGGTGATTTTGTACATAGTGAGCCAGGTGGCGTGCGTTCCCTGGATGAAAATTTTCACGGGAGCCATTTCATTTCTATTTTTCTCCCACGTATCCGGTCGGTCGTTATTTTAGTTTTTTAAGGGGCATTCGCCTAGGGGAGGTATCTAAAGCCATCAGGAAGGTATTTAGGTAGTTTTTGAAGGGGGTTTCAGCCATGTGGGGTATCTGAAGCCATCAGGAGGGTATTTAGGTAGTTTTTGAAGGGGGTTTCAGCCATGGGGGGTATCTGAAGCCATCAGCAAGGTATTTAGGTAGTTTTTGAAGGGGGTTTCAGCCATGTGGGGTATCTGAAGCCATCAGGAGGGTATTTAGGTAGTTTTTGAAGGGGTTTCAGCCATGGGGGTATCTGAAGCCATGAGCAAGGTATTTAGGTAGTTTTTGAAGGGGGTTTCAGCCATGTGGGGTATCTGAAGCCATCAGGAGGGTATTTAGGTAGTTTTTGAAGGGGGTTTCAGCCATGGGGGGTATCTGAAGCCATCAGCAAGGTATTTAGGTAGTTTTTGAAGGGGTTTCAGCCATGTGGGGTATCTGAAGCCATCAGGAGGGTATTTAGGTAGTTTTTGAAGGGGTTTCAGCCATGGGGGGTATCTGAAGCCATGAGCAAGGTATTTAGGGAGTTTTTGAAGGGGGTTTCAGCCATGTGGGGTATCTGAAGCCATCAGGAGGGTATTTAGGTAGTTTTTGAAGGGGGTTTCAGCCATGTGGGGTATCTGAAGCCATCAGGAGGGTATTTAGGTAGTTTTTGAAGGGGGTTTCAGCCATGGGGGGTATCTGAAGCCATGAGCAAGGTATTTAGGTAGTTTTTGAAGGGGGTTTCAGCCATGGGGGGTATCTGAAGCCATCAGCAAGGTATTTAGGTAGTTTTTGAAGGGGGTTTCAGCCATGTGGGGTATCTGAAGCCATCAGGAGGGTATTTAGGTAGTTTTTGAAGGGGTTTCAGCCATGGGGGTATCTGAAGCCATCAGGAGGGTATTTAGGTAGTTTTTGAAGGGGGTTTCAGCCATGGGGGGTATCTGAAGCCATCGGGAAGGGATTTAGGTAGTTTTTGAAGGGGATTTCAGCCATGGGGGGTATCTAAAGCCATCAGGAAGGTATTTAGGTAGTTTTTGAAGGGGGTTTCAGCCATGTGGGGTATCTGAAGCCATCAGGAGGGTATTTAGGTAGTTTTTGAAGGGGTTTCAGCCATGGGGGGTATCTGAAGCCATCAGCAAGGTATTTAGGTAGTTTTTGAAGGGGTTTCAGCCATGTGGGGTATCTGAAGCCATCAGGAGGGTATTTAGGTAGTTTTTGAAGGGGGTTTCAGCCATGGGGGGTATCTGAAGCCATGAGCAAGGTATTTAGGTAGTTTTTGAAGGGGGTTTCAGCCATGTGGGGTATCTGAAGCCATCAGGAGGGTATTTAGGTAGTTTTTGAAGGGGGTTTCAGCCATGGGGGGTATCTGAAGCCATCAGGAAGGTATTTAGGTAGTTTTTGAAGGGGGTTTCAGCCATGTGGGGTATCTGAAGCCATCAGGAGGGTATTTAGGTAGTTTTTGAAGGGGGTTTCAGCCATGGGGGGTATCTGAAGCCATGAGCAAGGTATTTAGGTAGTTTTTGAAGGGGGTTTCAGCCATGGGGGGTATCTGAAGCCATCAGCAAGGTATTTAGGTAGTTTTTGAAGGGGGTTTCAGCCATGTGGGGTATCTGAAGCCATCAGGAGGGTATTTAGGTAGTTTTTGAAGGGGGTTTCAGCCATGGGGGTATCTGAAGCCATCAGGAGGGTATTTAGGTAGTTTTTGAAGGGGGTTTCAGCCATGGGGGTATCTGAAGCCATGAGCAAGGTATTTAGGTAGTTTTTGAAGGGGGTTTCAGCCATGGGGGTATCTGCAGCCATCAGGAAGGCATTTAGGTAGTTTTTGAACGAGATTTCGGCTATGGGGGGTATTGATGGAGGTGGGAAAGGATGTGGTGGAGTGAGACATTTAGGGTAGCCCGAAGGCCAGATGGTTGCAGTCGCGAAGCGACTGTAACCATCTGGTTTTTAAAGGGATTAGGAAGGCCCAAGAACATTAGCATAAAAGGCTAGCGGAGTTGCTTTAGGAAAGGGCAGGCTAGCAGAGATTCTTCAAGAAAGGGCGGGCTAGCAGAAATTCTTTAGGAAAGGACAGGCTAGCGGAGATTCTTTAGGAAAGGGCAGGCTAGCAGAGGTTCTTTAGGAAAGGGCAAGCTAGCAGAGATTCTTTAGGAAAGGGCAGGCTAGCAGAGGTTCTTTAGGACAGGGCAGCCTAGCAGAGATTCTTTAAAGGGATCAAGACCGGCCTAATGAATTAGCATTTGCATCTACACGAGCGGGCTCTGACCCTTTAAAGGAATGTAGAAGCCAAAAATCCACAGGTCCACCAAAAACGTCTACCTACCAGGATATCCCATGGATACTTGCAGCGCTTCCTGCCGGCTTTGCCCTCCACGCACACCTGCCCCGGAATCGTACAATCCAAATCGCTGCCGCAGCGATGGGTGGGCTTCTGCAAAATTGGAAATAGATTAGACTTAAGCTGAGGCTCAAGGTTAGGTTTAGGTTTCGGCGTAGGCTTTGCCTTGGATTAAGCTTGGCTGAGGCCTGGCTTATCAGCTCAGGTTGGGCTTAGGCTTAGGCTTAGACTCAGACTTTGGCGTTGGCTTTGGCTTAGGCTTGGCTGAGCTTACGCTCTTGCTTAGGCTTAGTTTAGGCTTAGCTGAGCTTGGGCTTCGGCTTTGATAGTTTGATAGTTTAGGCTTGGGCTTAGGCTTAGGCCCAGCTTAGACTTAGACGTCGCCAAATTAGCTTACCGGTTTCCGTGTAAGGCAGCGGTCCGGAAAGAAGCACGCGGAGGC